TTGGGGGGGGGAAGGGGGGGAACATCTGAGGGGACACGGATGGACTCCCGGACACATGGACCTGGGAAAGGCGAGAGCACCTTGGGGAAGTGGGGAAGGGGGAGGGGGGAATATCTGAGGCGGACTCAAGGGAAAGAAGGAGATACTGGTTGCTAAGGCAGACCCTGGGAAAGTGGAGAAGGGAGAACATCTGAGGGGACACGGATGGACTCCTGGACACATGGACCTGGGAAAGGCGAGAGCACCTTGGGGAAGTGGAGAAGGGGGAGGGAGGAATATCTGAGGCGGACTCCTGGTAAAGAAGGAGATACTGGTTGCTAAGGCAGACCCTGGGAAAGTGGGGAAGGGAGAACATCTGAGGGGACACGGGATGGACCCTCCCGACACATGGACCTGGGAAAGGCGAGAGCACCTCTTCGGAAAGTGGGGAAGGGAAAGGGGGGGGGGATATCTAGGGCGGACTCCTGGGAAAGAAGGGGAGATACTGGTTGCTTAAGCAGACCCTGGGAAAGTGGGGAAGGAGAACATCTGACTGGACACGGATGGACTCCCGACATGGACCTGGGAAGGCGAAGAGCACCTTGGGGAATGGGGAAGGGAAGGGGAATATCCCAGGCGGGCATCCCTGGGAAAGAAGGAATGGCTGGTTCTAATGCAGACTCTGGGAAATGGGTAGGGAAACATCTGAGGGACAACACGGATGGACTCCCGACACATGGACCTGGGAAAGGCGAGAGCACCTTGGGGAAGTGGGGAAGGGGGAGGGGGGAATATCTGAGGTGGACAAATGGGAAAGAAGGAGATACTGGTTGCTAAGGCAGACCCTGGGAAAGTGGGGAAGGGAGAACATCTAAGGGGACACGGATGGACTCCGGGACACATGGACCTGGGAAAAGGCGAGAGCCCTTGGGAAGTGGGGAAGGGGGAGGGGGAAATATCTGAGGCGGAACTCCTGGGAAAGAAAGGAGGATACGGTTGCTAAGCAACCCTGGGAAAGTGGGGAAATGAGAACATCTGAGGGGACACGATGGACTCTCCTGGACACATGGACCTGGAAAGGCGAGAGCACCTTGGGGAAGTGGGGAAGGGGGAGGGAGGAATATCTGAGGCAGACTCCTGGAAAAGAAGAAGATACTGGTTTGCTAAGGCAGACCCTGGGAAAGTGTGGAAGGGAGAACATCTGCGGGGACACGGATGGACTCCCGACACTGACTGGGAAAGGCGAGAGCACCTTGGGGAAGTGGGGAAGGGGGAGGGAGGAATATCTGAGGCGACGTCCTGGGAAAGAAGGAGATACTGTTGCGAAGCAGACCCTGGGAAGTGGGGAAGGGAGAACATCTTGGAGGGACACGATGGACTCCCGACACTGGGACCGGCGAAAGGCAGAGTACCTTGAGGACTGGGAAGGAAAAGGGGGGATATGAAAGGCGGACTTCTTGGGAAAGACGGAGATACTGGTTTGCTAAGGCAGACCCCTGGGAAAGTGGGGAAGGGAGAACATCTGAGGGGACACGGATGGACTCCCGGACACATGGACCTGGGAAAGGCGAGAGCACCTTGGGGAAGTGGGGAATGGGAGGGGGGAATATCTGCGGCGAGGACTGCTGGGAAAGAAAGAGATACTGTTGCTAAGGCAGACCCTGGAAGTGGGTAAGGGAGAACATCTGAGGGACAAACGGATGGAACTCCTGGACACATGGACCTGGGAAAGGCGAGAGCACCTTGGGGAAGTGGGAAAGGGGGAGGGGGGAATATCTGAGGCGGACTCCTGGGAAAGAAGGAGATACTGGTTGCTAAGGCAGACCCTGGGAAAGTGGGGGAAGGGAGAACATCTGAGGGGACACGGATGGACTCCTGGACACTGGACACTGGGAAAAGCGAGAGCCAAACCTTGGGAAGTGGGGAAGGGGGAGGGAGGAATATAAGAGGCGGACTCCTGGGAAAGAAGGAGATACTGGTTGCTAATGCAAGACCCTGGGAAAGTGGGGAAGGAGAACTCCCCTGAGGGGACAGACCGGATGACTCCTGGACACATGGACATGGAAAAGGGGGGGGGGGGGGGGCGAGAGCACCTTGGGAAAGTGGGGAAGGGGGAGGGAGGAATATCTGAATCGGACTCCTGGGAAAGAAGGTGATACTGGTTGCCATAGCAGACCCTGGGAAAGGGGGGAAGGGAGAACATCTGAGGGGACACGGATGGACCCCCGGAACACATGGACTGGGAAAGGCGAGAGCACCTTGGGGAAGTGGGGAAGGGAAAGGCGGACTTCTGGGAAAGAAGGAGATACTGGTTGCTAAGGCAGACCCTGGGAAAGTGGGGAAGGGAGAACATCTGAGGGGACACGGATGGACTCCCGGACACATGGACCTGGGAAAGGCGAGAGCACCTTGGGGAAGTGGGGAAGGGGGAGGGGGAAATATCTGAGGCGGACTCATGGGAAAGAAGGAGAGACTGGTTGCTAAGGCAGACCCTGGGAAAGTGGGGAAGGGAGAACATCTGAAGGGACACGGAAGGACACCCTGACACATGGACGGGAAAGCGCGAGCACGTTTGGGAATGTTGAAGGAAGGGGGAATATCCGAGGCGGCTCCTGGGAAAGAAGTAGATGCTGGTTGCTAAGGCAGACCCGGAAAGTGGGGAAAAGTAGAACATCTGAGGGGACAACGGATTGGACTCCCGAACACACGGACCTGGGAAAGGCAGAACACCTTGGGGAAGTGGAAGGGGGGGAATATCGGAGGCGGACATCCTGGGAAAGAAGTTGAAAGCTGGTTCCATAGCAGACCCTGGGAAAGGGGGGAAGGGATAGAACATCTGAGTGGACTCACGGATGGACTCCCGGACACATGGATCTGGAAAGGCGAGAGCACCTTAGGGAAGTGGGGAAGGGGGGGGAATATCCGAGGCTACTCCCGGGGAAAGAAGAGAGATACTGGTTGCTAAGGGCAGATCCACTGGAAAGTGGGGAAGGAGAACATCTGAGGGGAACACGGATAGACTCCCGGACACATGGACCTGGGAAAGGCGAGAGCACCTTGGGGAAGTGGGGGAGGGGGGGATATCCAAGGGGGACTCCTTGGAAAGAAGGAGATACTGGTTGCTAAGGCAGACCCTGGGAAAGTGGGGAAGGGAGAACATCTGAGGGGACACGGATGACTCCCGGACACATGGACCTGGGAAAGGCGAGAAGCAACCTTGGGAAGTGGGGAAGGGAAAAGGGGGGATATCCGAGGCGGACTCCAGGGAAAGAAGGAGATACTGTTGCTAATGCAGACCCTGGGGAAAGTGGGAAGGGAAGAACATCTGAGGGGACATGGCGGAGGACTCCCGGGACACATGAACCTGGGAAAGGCGAGAGCACCTTGGGGAAGTGGGGAAGGGGAGGGGGGAATACTGCGGCGGACTGCTGAAAAGGTAAGGAGATTACGTGTCTAAGGCAGACCCTGGGAAAGTGGGAAAGGGAGAACATCTGAGAGGGACACGGATGGAATCCCCGACACATGGACCTGGAAAGGCGAGAGCACCTTGGGAAAGTGGGGAAGGGAAGGGGGGGGAATGTCTGAGGCGACTCTATCACTGGGAACGAAGGAGATACTGGTTGCTAAGGCAGGACCCTGGAAAGTGGGAAGGGAAGAACATCTGACTGGACACGGATGGACTCCCGGACACATGGGCCTGGGAAAGGCGAGTGCGACCTGGGGAAGTGGGGAAGGGAAGGGGGAATATCTGAGGCGGACTGAAAGAAGGAGATACTGGTTGCTAAGGCAAGACCTGGGAAAGGTGGGGAAGGGAGAAC